TATAGTGAGGATCTTGGCAGAGGTGAAACCTATTGGACAGAATATCAGCACTGCCAGTCAATGTTGGAGATTGTAACAGAAGAAATGCTACAAGATGCTGTGAAATACACAAAGGCTGAAATACAAATAAAACGTTCTGTATGCACCGATAGCCATATTCAAAAATGTATTTATTATGACACCCCACTAGCTGAACTGAAAACATTGAAAGGTCTGTTGTAGTTAGCACAGATTTCTCATGGTAATTGCAGGAATGTAAAAGATTTATGGAAAAGTGATGGGTCAAAATATGATACAAATTTTTATGCCCTTGTAGATGCAAAGACTTATTCTTCAATTCAGAAATTTATCCTGCAACTCAGCCACCGGATCCTTATTTGTATAGTAATAAACCAAATGATGTTGTGAACAGACTTGTTGCTCCCATCTCCCAAACTAAACAGAACAGGACATTTGACAGTTTGTTTACCAGTTTCCAATTGATGTTATATTTGCTAACAGAGCACAAGTTGGCCAGTGTAGGAACTGTACACAAGAACAAAGTAGAAATTCCAAATGAAATGTTGCAATTTCAAAACAGAGACTTATGTAGTATGATCTTTAGATTTCAGAAAGATTTACATTGGCTTCACATACAGCAAAGAAAAACTGGTACTGCTGATGTCAACATTGCACCATGATGGAAATATTGATAGGGAAATCTTGACAAAACGAAAGCCTGAGATGGAAACTTTCTACAGCAAAACCAAAGGTGGAGTAGATCTTGTTGATGAGTTATGCAGCAACTATGATGTCACTCAAAACACAAAGCATTGGCCAATGGTTGCATTTTACTCAATACTAAACGTGGCATAAATTTTTGATAATTTACAATGAAAATAACAGTGCAAAATACCATGGAAAAATTTTCTTAGAGGATTGGGCCTGGAACTCATAAGAAATCATTTACAGCAGAGGAAAAACAAAATGTTTCTGCTCAGGAAATGATGCAAAAAAAATTTTTGGAGCACACTGGTGAGCTGACAGGTGAACAGGTAGGCATAGCATCACAAAGACCTACTATGATAACAATAAAATCAAAAAGATGTCAACCTTGCCCAACAAGAAGACAGGAAAACAAAACGTGTTATCAGTGTAAGTGATATTTGTGTATGGAACATGCAATTGTCATGTGTGAAGATTACCTTGGGTGTGACAATTGCAGCAAAGGTTATTTTTGTTGTAGAGTTCTACTGGTATTTTCATATACAGGAATTTTCATATATTGGTATTTTCATATATTTTCAAATATAGGAATTTATTTATGATGTTATCTTTTAAGTTTTGTAAGCAAGTACAAAGCTGATGTGAAAATGTTGATGTTTATTCTAAACACACAATACATATTAAGTTTTATACTTTATATTTTATGTTCCTGTTAACTACACATTGTTTAATAAGAACTTCCTGAAAAAACAGCAAGACCAATGAGATGTCAAGTATGCCCTACCAAAAGGGCAGGAAAGCAAAACACACGTGCTGTCAGTGTAAGCGACATATGTATGGAAAGTGCTGTTGTCAACTGTGAAGGCTGCCTTAGGTGTGATGATTGAAGAAAGATTTTTTTTTTTGGAAAGTGCTATTGGTATTTTCATTGTAGTTCATATAGGAATTTATTTCTGTTGTTATTTTTTAGACTTTGTAAACCAAAACACAGTTGATGTTGAAAATTTTGATGTTTTATGAACACTCAATAAATATGAAAAATTCAAATATTTTTGGTATTTTCTTAAGTGCCCATTGTTTAATATAATAAAACTCATACAATTAAAATTAATAATTCAATAGAAATATTCTAAATAATAAATGTGGGTATTATACACCCAAGTTTCTGCACCTTTATGACAAAATTTACGTTATGCCTCTTAAGGAGGCCTGTTGCTGGAACAGTATAAAAGGAAAATGGGAGGGGAGGATTTCATGCTGATTTTTATAGGAAGAGCTTTGTTCTGGCTGCTTTTCTTTGGAGAAGCTTTGGCTGTTCTCTTGGGCTGAGCTCTGCTCTTTGCCTTTGACAAGGATGGCTGCTGTTCTTCGGAGGAGTTATGGTCTTTGCCTTCATCTTGGGTATCATCTCCTGGCTTTCAGAGCAGATACTTCAGCTTCTAGCCCCAGCCCTTTGGCATGCCTCCCAATGCAGACTCTCTAGCCCCAGCACTGGCCCTTGGGCTTCCAGTGCAGACCCTTCAGTATTCCCATCAAAGATTCCTTGGCCTCCTGATATGGATTTGCACAGGACATTGCTCTGGGCTGCAAGCCTTTGGCTGTATTCTTCAGATCTCTAGTGCATGGACAGATCTCTTGCACTCTTCTACATCTGACTCTGTGGGCAGATACTGTCAGCTAATCTTGTAAATTTCTGTGTCCTGCATTAAATCTGTTTTTCTTGCAAATACTGATTACAACAGTGTATAAAAAAGTTACTTGGTACATACTTCAAACCTTATGAAAAATATTAAAATGGATCGCAGACAAGTGTAAAACTCTAAAACTTTTAAAAGAAAATACAGGAGAAAAAGTATTTGACCAGGGGTTGGCAGAATTTTTACGTATGACACCAAAAGTGCAGTCCAATGACAGTTAAGACTTTATCAAAATTTAAAATTTTTAATCTGTGAAAGTCACTATTAAGAGCATAAAGGAGAAAATATTTGCAAGGCATATATCTGATAAAGGCTCTTTATCCAAAATATATAAAGTTGCACAATTTAACAATAAAAAACCCCAATTTTAAAAAAGAGCATAGATCTTCTGATGGAAATAAGCAGATGAAAAGATGTTCAACATCATTATACATTGGGGAAATAAACAAACCACAGTCATATGCTACTTTAATACTATCAGAATGGCTGTGTTTTTTTGGAATGGATCTTGTTTTGTAGTTCAGGCTGGCCTCAGACTCACAGTAATCCTCCTGCCTCAGCCTTCCAAGTGCTGGGATAACAGGGATGCAGCACCATGCCCTGCTGACTGATAATTTTAAAGCTGATAATACTAAGTTCTATTAAGAACTGGACTACTCATACATTGCTGCTGGGAATGCAAAATGGTACATTAAGTGGCAGTGTCTATATTATAAAGTTCATAACATATTTACTATACAATGTAGGTTTTCCTTCCCTAAGTATTTAATCATGTGAAATAAGTACTTATTGCTGTGGTCTGAATGTTTGTACTCCCAAATTTTATATGTTGAAATATTACCCAAAAGTGGTATTAAGAAGGAGGTCTTATGAGGGGTGGTAAGGTCATGAGGACTCTCATCAGATTAGTGTATTCACATGAAGTCTGAGAAAGGTTCCCTCCGCCATGTAAGGACACAGCTAGAAGGCACCGTATTTGAACTGGAAAGTTGTCCTCTGGTAGACACCAAATTTTTCAGTGCCTTGGTACTGGACTTCCCAGTCTCTAGGACTGTGATAAATATCTGTTGTTTATGAGTTAGTCATTTTATGGTTTTTAAAAGTTATAGCAGCCCACACAGACTATGACATTCATGTTTATATAAAATTCTGTACATGAATGTTTATAGAAGCTTTATTCATAATCACCAAAAAACCACGTAAGAAGCTATTCAGATAAATTTTACTACATACATACACTGGACTACTCAAAACTTAAAAGGAACAACCTATCATTCTTGCAATGTGGATAAACCTGAAATGAGCTTTGTTAAGTGAAAAAACCTAGACCCCAAAGGCTTCATATCATGTTTCTACATAGGACATGGAAAAGACAATACTATAGGGGTAGAAAGCAGATCTGTGGACTCCCAAGTTCTGGAAGAAGAGTCAGATGACTACAAAGGGTCAATGTTAGGAAAATTGGGAGCAATGAAACTATGCACTATGGTAGTGAATAAATGACTCTGTCAATATCCATAAAACTACATATCAAAGGGGTTTTATTATATGTAAAATTTTAAAAACCAAGATGAAATTCAGGTAGATAAAGATGGAATGTAGAAGACACAAGTTAATCTATTCTATAAATAAGTGACATAACCATACTTAAGGGGTCTATCAAAATTGCCAATTAATTTAATCATTAGGTCATAAAGTAAATACCTGATATGAAAATTAAAACTCCAGATTTTTAACTGAAATCTTTCAACCAGTTATCAAAGATTTGAGTTTTTAAAAAATATATAGTCTAAAGTTTTCTTAAAATTCTTTCTATTATCAGTTATATCAAACTTCTTAAAAGACTTTGGGAAGGCTTAAATTAATACAGCTGTGACATGTTGTAAACACTGAATAAGCAATAAACCTTCCCCTAAAATTTGGTTTGCATACTGAGACTGATAATGCTGCCCTCATCCCCAAAAAGAGTATGAAAAGATTTTCTCACATATCAAGGCTTTCTTGGGACAGACAGTCAAGTCTCCTAACCTGACTTGAAAACAGATTGAGAAAGCAGAGAAAGTAGACTGGATTTGGGTTTTCATGGTGGATAGGGTGTGAGAGTTTCTATACATAGTTTGAACTTCCTGCTGGCACCAAAGGAGAGAGTAACCAGCTTACCAGTTGGACTAGATGTGGGGCAGGAAGAGAAGCAGAGGGTGTAAGGTTTAAAAATCTCACAGCAGTTATACAACAAAATATGGAGTCATGTTTTTTATTACTTGATAACAATACAACTAATTTAAAAAGCACAAAACAGGGCTGGGGATTTAGCTCAGTGGTTCTGCTGCCTGCCTCACAAGCGCAAGGACCAGAGTTCGATCCTCAGTACCAATAAATAAATAAATAAAAATAAATAAAAAGCACAAACACAAAAATATTGAATGTTTATATGATTTCATCAAATTTAAATATCATTAAAGCTATACCTATAATTAACAAACAAATACCAAACAAAATTGTTTTTTGTTAAACACAGGGAATTGTTGTTAAAGACAAGAAATAAAATTTTAAATGTTCTTCAAAAAACATTTAAGCAAAAAACAGGACCACCACTGATACAGCAATCCAATTTTCATATTTTATTCTTTTGTGTTTGATTTTATTCCATTAAAGATACTACCATAAGTGATTAAAGTAAAAATTTTACAATTTGTCATATTTAGAAGGAAATAACAGACTTTATTCACTGTTAATATCAAATTGTTTGAAATTATTATTAGAATACCATTTTGTATCCTGCAACAGCAAAATGCAGTAACTTTAAAAGAATTCAGTTGCTAAAGAACACCTTAGCATTAATCTGCACGGTCATCACTAAAAAGTCTTATGTCCTGAAGGAGTTTTTGTTCTTATCAAAACAACTAAAATACTGCCAGGTAAAACTTAGGTTCCAGGGAGAAGCAGGCTAAATATTTCTAATAAAGGTTAATAGAAAAAGCTTCAAATTATGTTCAGAGTAATAAAAGTTCTGCCTGAACATGGCTTGAAAAATCAAAATAAAAGTAAATAATTAGCTAATTGCACAAAAAAAACTCAATATTTAAATGCTTATAATCAAATAATGTAACTATAGTAATCTATTATTACATTAATCAACAAAAGAATCTTCACGCTTTCAACAATAATGTAAATTTATGACATAGATGACTACAGAGATTAAAATAATTCAAAAAACTATAACTGGTTCAGAAAAGACTAAACTGTGTTGTATTTTGTGAAGAAGTTGAAAAACCTTCTGAAGAGGAAGGTATAGAATTTTTATCCTGTTCAAAAGAAAATGGAAAAACAAAATCATCTTTTCCAGCTCCAATTGTACGAGTTGAAGTGTCAGATGAAAACGAAAAGGTAAAGGCATCTTCTCGTTTTCCAAATAAATTTCCTGAGGGAGATAAATATCATCAGATCATGTACTCATGTTATACAAAATTTACATAACCTAGTGGATTAAAATATACTGCATACAAGAAATAGAGTAGTACTGAATCATTTATGAGATATTTAAATGTCAGATATTCTTTCTCTCTACAAGGCATGGTCTTTGGTACTATAAAAGGTTAAACAAACTCAAACTTAAACCTTACTTGCAAGTACGTCTAACTTAAGTACATAAAGAACTAGTTGAAAGAAGGAAAAACACCTCAAAAGAAAGGCCCAGAAATAGGAACCCATAGGAAGCATTAAGACAAAAGAATTGATACTCACTTTCGGCAGGGGCACTGAGAAATAATAAAGATATACTGAGCAGTAACTAATGAAGATGAGCTTAGAAAGGCTAGTGAGTGTTCTGCTATAGAGTATGGTCTTTATTTAATAAGTAATTAGGGAACCAGTAAGCATTTCAAGCACAGATACCGTATTTGAGCTGCCTTACAAAGATTATTCAGGATAGAATGTGTAAAAAGGCTGGACTGGAGAGTCCTTTTAGGAATAACCAAAAGGAAAAAAGTCCAGCCAAGAGACAGTGAAAACCTGATGATCACAGCAATGGGAATGGGGAGAGAGAATACTAGAGCTGACCTGAAACACTGCACAAGTCAAACTTACTCAGTTACTATTTATTTTAATTTTATTTTATTGGTACATTTTAGGTATACAATATAATGACATTCATCCTTGGAAATTTGCACCTTTACATAATTGCTCTTGGTTCTTATTTTTCCCCCTTCCCCTGCCCTCCCTTCAACCTCTCCATCCCTCCCTATTTACAAAGACTTTGTTTCCATTTTTTCATTTTCTCATATTAATTCCATTCCCTTCTCTTTCCCTATCCCTCCTACTTCCCCTTCCCCTTTGCCCCTTTTCTTCCTATTTCACATTATCTATTACACCTTTTAACCCTTATTTACACTTTCAATTTCTCACACTAGAGAAATTATTTGGTATTTACACATATGTGTCCTATTTAGTTACTATTTATTAACTACAATAAATGTTTGTGGACTTGTTCAAGGAAATTGATAAAACAGTGAAAAGAATTCTATCATTTTTAAAAGATTTTTTAAATCAACCTTCCATACAAAATTATTTTTTTATGGCCCAGGATGTAGCTCAGTGGCACTGCGCCTGCCTGGCAAGCACAAGGTTCTGAGTTCAATCCCTGGTACCACACACACACACACACACACACACACACACAAAAAAAAATTTGTTGCTGACTCCTACTAATGCCAGTGAGGAAAAATACTTTTTAAAATTCAATATATTATTTAAAACTGTAAATAGAAAAATACTCAACATTTTAAATTTAATTTAAAATCAATTATTAATTTAAAATCTACACTAATCCAGAGTTGAAATGTCTTTTAAAGCACTATTTTTTTCCATAATAATTAACTTATTATAACTAAGCAAAAGAAATTCTACTTGAAAATTTTCATATCTTGCTACTTGAAAATTTTCGTATCTTTTTTTAATATCTCCATTATTTCACTCTAAATAGAGATGAGTTAGCCAGGCGAAAACTACTTGAATGGATAGATGGACTGATTACCAATCATTTGTGTTCTTCCTCTCCTCCTCTCTCACTTTACTTTCTGCTGCCTTCAGTATACATCCATGTAGGATTTAAACAAAGGGAAATACAGACATAGCTCCAGAAAGAATTAAAATCTTAAGTCTCTTCATAAGTGAATCTGATTTTGTCAGTTTAGAATAAGTTCATATTAGGTATTTATAAAACTACTATGCTCACTGTAAATTATATAAGGCAGTATTCTTGGTGTTGTATTTCAAGGATAAATAAAACCCTAAAAAGAATCTGTGATCCAGAGTGTATTTCATATATATTCATAAATAACTAATGATAGAAGGTAGAAGATTTAAAAATATGAAAGAGACATTCAGAAAAGTGAGAAAGAGATCTCTTTGGAATGAAAAGTTAGGGGGAAAATAAAAGATTGTATAGATGAGCTCTTGGTCTTCAAAGACAGAAACAGAAGTTGGGAACTGCAAGAAGAAAAAAGCAGGTAAAAAAATTTTGGCATATTTGACTGAGTTCTCTAGTCTGGCCAAAGCCCAAGTAATGCTTACCAAAGTAAAGGCTTAAAAGTTATGCTGGAGCTAAGTTGAAAATGTAAGAGAAAAGTGGGCACGGTGGTACATCTCTGTAATCCCAGCAATCTGATATGCTGAGGCAGGAGGATCCCCACATTCAGTCCTAGCCTAGGAAACTTGGCAATTTAGCAAGACTCTGTCTCAAAAAATAAAAGGGGGGGGCACCTGGGGATATAGCTCAGTGAGAAGGCCCTGGATTCAATTCCCAGTACTGCAAAAGAAAAAAAAGTAGAATAATTTGATAATCAATGGGGAGAAACCAAAGATATTTGAATAAGGCGATGACGTAGTCAACATTATAAATAAGGACGATCACTTAAGCTGTGATTTATAGGTAAGCATAGGTAAACTGAAAAAATAAAAAGAATATTTAGGATGTTACTGCAATAGCTCAAGTGAATGGTTATGAGTTAGAACTAATAACACTTGATAATCAGCTGAAAGTAGTCACAGTCACAGGGAGATGTTAAAATTATTACTGATGTTCTGAATCTTGGCAACCAGAATAATGGAGATATCACTGGGGACATTGTGAGGACAAATTTGATTTCAAATACGCTGAGATTTTAATGTCAAGAGAAATCTTGGATAAAAAGAGATTTTCATTACAAAATCAAAAATAAAGTCCTAGAATTCAGAAGAAGTCAGTGAAGGAAGATATGAATTTAGTCATCATCTGTATTATATCTGAAAGCACTGAAGTGACTGTCAAATGAACGGAAATATCAAAGAAGAAATAGATTTAAATTTTAGAAGCAGACATTTAATGAATATCTATAATTGGTAGATTCATTCTGGTCTCACATAGCAATAAATATCATCTACAAGCATTTCAAAATCTTTATCTCCATGCCTTGAATTCCTGATTCATACATATCATTTCCTACTTTACTTTCATAGACATCTGTAAAAAGGCTTTTGCAAATATAACACTTTCAAACTAAAAACCCAGCTCCTCCTATCTCAAAATAACTTCTCTCACAGTCATCCACATTTAAATAAATGGCTGCTCCATGTGTCAAAACCTTGGCATTGTTGTTTCTTTCAATCCTTATACCCAATCCATAGGCAAGTTCTTCCAGCTTTATCTTCAGAAAATTTTATAAACAAAATTAAAAGTCTTCACATCACTTCTGCCACTATCTTAGCCATAATCAATTCTCACTTATATTAATGTCTTCCTAGTCCATGTCCCTGCCTTCACCCTTGTTTCTATACAGTATGTTTTCCATATAGCAATCAGAGTAATTAAAAACCTGTCCAATAAATATTTCAGTCCTTTGTTCAAAACAGACAAATGTTCTCCATCTCATTCAGAAAAAAAATCCAAAGACCGTAATGTTCTACAGAACCCACATGATTTGCTCCCCCATAGCCTCTCCAATTTAATCTCCTGCAATAGTTCTCCTTCCTTATTCCATTTCAGTATTACAAATTTACTTGTTGTTTAATGAACATACGAAGTATGTTCCCATCTCATGTCCTTTCCATCCTTTGCCCAGAACACTTTTCTCAGTTACTACACCTCCTTTACATCTCAGCTCAGATGTTATCTACTTTCCTTGACTGTTGTAGCACAGTAACCACCTTCTCAATACAATACTTCCTATTCTCCTTACTCTGCTTTGCTTTTTTTCATATTATTTATTACCACCAGTAAGCGTTAACTTCAAGCCTGGGCTCATTCAGAGTCACTTGGAAGAACGACATGAAATCTGACACCTGATAACACTGTTTACTTAGAAAACGCAGAAATAAGGTAAATGTAAAATGTTGTACCTGACTACTCTGCTGTATGAGACCACACCTAAATTAGAGGAGCTAAATTTGCATAGAAGTCTTGGGCTTCACAACTAGAATGCTATTAAAGACTAGTGGGTGCTGCAGATTTTGTATGTCAATATGACATACATGCACCATGCCTCTTATCCATAAAAGCCCAGAATGTTCCACATGGTTGAGGTGGCAAAGAAAGTTTATTACTTGAGTAGCTGGTAGGCCTTTCAATAAGACAAAGATTCTGTTCCTGCTGTTATCTCCTATCTGTATCCTTCTATAAAGTAAATATTAGCTTTTACACTGTAACATATGAATCAGATTGCCAGTTCAAACCCATAAAAACTGTTGTTTAATGCTCTACCTGACATATTATACATTGATATATTTGTCTATGTTCAGTCTCTCCCTCTAGAATATAAGCATCCTATGAGAATTTTACATTCTTATCCACTGAACATAAGCTGAAGGAGTACCTGACACCAAATATAATATGTACACATACATATTTATGTGTTAAATTAACCAGTCAAATGATAAAAGAAGATCTTATAAAAATATAAGTACCAGAAAAATAGGAAAAAATCCAAAAATTTCAGAAAGAAATGGAAATAGTCAATCATATCAAATGCCACAAAGGGACTGAATATAACAATGCAAGATATCCATGCCTGACAACTGAGAAGTCATTAGATAGCTTAAAGCAAGCGTTGCAGAACAGTGAGACAAGAAGCTAAATTGCTTTTTAAAAAAAAAGATTAGTGAGTGGCAGAGAAGTAACTAATTTTTTAAAGAATAAAGCATGCCTAGGAAAATCAGAGACAAACTAAATACTAAAGGGCAAATTAAACATGTTTTTATTTATTTTTTTGTTAACATGTTTTTAGATGTGGCAAACTTCAGATCACTTACCAATTTCTTGTGATGATGGAGGATTGAGATTTACTGCAGAATGACGATGTTCACTAAGCTGGAAGATAATTTCCATTAAATATAACTTGTGAAATAAGTAGAAGAGTATATACAACACTTATATTTGGAATCTAAAGCCTGGTGATTCTAATATACATCATCATACCTTTCTATATAGCATACTACTATACTTAAAAAAGAGTTCCGTATGACTGGGTTATGGCTTAGTGGTAAAAGCCCTTGCCTAGCACATGTCAGGCTCTGGGTTTAACTCCCAGCACTGAGAAGAAAAAAAAAGAGTTCTATTTTCATTTACTTATATTAACATAAGGCCCATTGATTTGATTATAGCAACAGATAAAATACTAATAGGCAACATATTATTCTAAGGATAATTCCTATTTTATAATCCAAATTCCTAAAATTCTAGTCTTTATTATCTAAAATTACAATCAACTTGCTTTGTTCTGAAGGCTTTTAACAAATCAGGTTCTTAGTACTACTTTTCTACCTACAAAAGTAATAGGATGGATGGTGACAGCTTCGTGTGAGTTAAGATCAAGTTTTACTGCCCAAAAGAGCCTATTTTCTTAGTAAGGTTGGCTTTTAAAAAATGTTACATCCCTTTTTCTATGTCCCTATTCATCTAAAATTTATTTGACTCTTTCATAACAATATTCTTATAGCTATACCATACAGTTTCAGCCCTTCTTTTATTTCTGAACACTTAAGTTGCTTCAATATTTTTCTATTATAAACAGCCTGTTTGAATACCATTAGTGCACAGAATCACATTTTTTAACAATTAACAAGGAAAGTTGTTTTACTATGACAGTGTGTAAGTTACTTGAATTTATTTTTCAGTGAACTATCTATTCACCAAATGATCTTTGCCCATTTATATATTGAGGGAGTATTTTTGTTCTTATTGGTATATAAAAGTGCTTTATATATTAAAGATATTCTTTGTCATATTATTGCAAATATTTTACAATGCTTTATCATTTGCCTTTAAAACTGTATAGAATATACAGAAGTTCAGATTTTGCATGTAAGTAAACTTAATTTTTTTCTTTTATTTTTCCACTGCTTTTGTGCTTAGAGAATCTGTCCTCCAAAGATCTGGTAAATACTTACCTGTATTTCTTCTGAAATATTTAATGGTTAATATTTTTTCATTTAATTTAGCACATCTAAATATAGTTCTGTTGGTATATAGTGTATCATGAGATCATAAATTTTCCCTACTAATTTGTGGTCCCTTCTTTACCACATTCTAAACTCTTTTGTTTCAAGAACTTTCACCCCATACCATTTATCATTCTATTAATTCTTATACATTTATACATATATCTTGCACACTATTTTGATTATTCTAAGTTTATAGGGTATTTTAATGTTTAGAAAGTAAAGTTGCCTTGACTAATCCATTTAATAATATTTAGGATGTATTATCTTCTTCTATTTCTAATATAGGTAATTTGTCTTATCTTTTTGTCAATCTAGCTAGGACTATATCAATTTTGTCAATTATTTTCAAAGAACCAACTTGGGCTTGTTTTTCCATTTTCTTGATTTCTCATCTTTTTACTCCTTTATTCTACCTACTTTGGATCTGCTTTGTTTTTCTTTTTCTAGCCTCCAAAGACAGAACCTTAGGTCACTGATTTTAGAACTTTCTTCTGTTCTATTTAATTATCTAAATTGTTAACTGAATTACTTAAAGCCATATTTTGCTTTGGCTTTGGCAGAATCCCACAATTTTTGATAAGCTGAACTTTCATATAATTCAATTCAAAACATATTCTGATTTCTGTCATGATTCTTTATTCCATGGCCTACATATTGAGGATTTTTCAAGACAGCTTACTGTTATTGAGTTCTAATTTAATTGCATTGTGGTTAGAGAACATGCTCTGATCTTAATCACTTTAAATTCATTAAGATTCATTTTATGGCCCAGAATATGGTCTATCTTGGGGAATATACCATCAGCACTTGAAAAGGGTATGTGTTGTAGTTGTTGGATATGATGTTCTATGAAGTTCAATTAGGTCAAAGGAATTGATAGTGTTAACTGAGGTCCTCAGGTCTTACTGAAAATATGGACTGCATTGTCTAATCCTACCAATTTCTCAGAAAGAGGCACTATAAATATGCATTTTTAAATGTTTAAAATGTCTCCCTTTAATTTTTATTAATTTTCATTTAATGTATTTTGAAGCTGTTATCAGGCACATACACATTTGTGATTGCTATATCTTTCTTATGAATTGAACTGTTTACCTTTAAGAAATATCTTCCTCATCACTAATAATATTCTTTGTCTTGAAAACTAGTGTTATGGCTTGTATCTAGATGTCCCTCCAAAGCCTCATGTGATCATAGGTAGGGCTTTTCAAAGGTAGCTGGATCTAGGGTGTGTAATGTGGATTAAGGGTGTGTGAATATAGATTAAAGGTCTGATAACTAAATTAGCCCATTGATTGAGTGGGCTTCCAGTTCTGAGCCTGGAAGGCCCACCTTGGTTGTAGGTGGCACTACCCAAAAGGCATATAGCCTGGATGCGATCAAAGAGAAAAGGAAGCCTGCTGCTGTTGCTGCCTCCTACCTGCTCTCCAATGGACTGTTTCTCCTCTGCAATGTCCCTCTGCCATGCTACCCTCCCTGCAAGCCAGCCAATTATGGACTGAAACTTTTACAAACTGTGAGCCAAAATAAATCTTTTCTCCTTTAACTTGTGAAAGTTGGCTATTTTGTCTCAGCAACTATAAAAGTAACTAGACAACTACCAAAAATGGTGTAGACATTATGACCCACTTATGGTTAGAGTTTTCATACCATTTTTCATCCACTTAATTTTCTTTCTTTTTTTTTTTTTTGAAATGGTCTTGCTATGTAGTTCAGACTAGCCTTGAACTCCCGGTGATCCCCCTGCCTCAGCCTCCCAAGTGCTGGGATTACAGGCCTGTGTGCCACCGCACCCAGCTCCATCCATTTATTTTCAATCTACTTTTGTCTTTATATTTAAAGTGTGCCTCCTATAGGTACCTTATATTTGGGTCTTTTTATCCATTCCTATAATATTTGCCTTCTAATAGAGTACTTAGCCCATCCATATTAATGTATTAAAAAGTTTACAATTTGATCTAACATTTTACTATTCATGTTTATTCCCTTTGTGTTTTGATACTACATTTCTTCTTTTCTTCCTTGTTTTGGATTAAAAAGTTTTTTAGATTTCCATTTTAATTTATTATGAATTTTATTTTTGAACATTGTCTTATTCTTGACCACATTTCCCTAAGAAGCTTACTAATTATCTGGCTAATCTTCTCCAGCCCAACCCATCAACACACACAAAATTAAAGATAATCTTGCCAGGATTAAATCCAAATTGGATTTCATTTATAAATTATTCTGAGAAGAAATTTATCTTTATAATAATTTCTTCATATACACATACTTCAACATCTATGTATATTTTCTTAGTATTTTTTCTTTCTCAGTATTTTTATAGTTTTCTTTATTCAAAATGTACTTGCTTTCTGTTAAGATTATGTAACATTTATTTTTACATTCATGTTGTAAGTGAAAATCTAGTAACTAGTAACTATTTTTTCTGTTTAGTATACCCCTTATAGGAATTGATTTTAAAATAGGTATTTCAATAAAACTCGAGGTAAAATTTGAAGACATGAAATGATATTCTATATCAACTATCAATACATTTGCAATTTAAACAATGTAATATACTGTGGGGATAAAATAAAAATTCTAATTTCTATAAAAAAGGCTTAAATGTAGCTAATTAAAATGAACAATAATAATAATACAATATTTATACTACATTGTTATTTATTAAGTGGTTGGTACTTTCCTAAGTGCTTTACATGTATAAACTCATTTAATATGGTAATAATTATTACTATTTCTCAGTTACAGATAAGGAAACAGAGTTACTCAATATCCCACAAACAGTACATACCTAAACAATCTAGCTTCTCAGTTTAGCTTTAATCACTATAGTACATTGTCTCTGCTTTTCAAATCAAGATGTCTTAATTGTTGAGTTTAATGGCTAGACACAGAAGCATTTTACCATGATTTATACCACTGAACAGTAGAAAATCAGATGGAAATTCTTTAAATCTTTTAAAATCAATCAATCTAGGGGCCAGGGATTTAGCTCAGTGGTTCCACTGCCTGCCCCCGCAAGCACAAGGATCCAAGTTCAATCCCCGGTACCAAAAAAAGAAAAAAATTAATCAATCTAGTGTTGCCATGTACATACATGTACTTGAAAAGATCAATTTATGATTTTATGTTAGTGGAATTTGATTGAGAATATGTAGTTTGTTTTCACATTGAGAATATGTTGTTTAGAATTTCAATACATTAATTATAAGACCAAATTCATTTTAAACTGCCTTTAACCGCATTTTAAATTTTCCTTATCTTGAATTTTTTTAAGGAAAAAAATGTGAATTTGGGGCATCTGAAGTCAAGAACAAAAAGATAATAGGGAACTGTGTTCTACTATTAAAACCCAAGTGTGTGTGTGTGTGTGTGTGTGTGTGTGTGTGTATTTGCGGTGGGGATAAAATTCAGGATCTCACATACTCTAGGCAAGCACTCCACCACTGAGCTATATCCTCAGGTTGATATTCAGAATTTTTTAAATTGCCTCTGTTGGTACTCTGTGTCCCAAGAAAGTCTGGTACTAAGAACTAAAATTATCAGGGCTGGGGATTTAGCCCAGTGGTTCTGTCACCTGCTTCGCAAGCGCAAGGACCCGAGTTTGATCCCCGGTACCAAAAAAAAAAAAAAAAAGAACTAAAATTATCAAAGGTTCCAATATACAATTTTTAGAAATAAAACTTTTATCTTCTCATTTTACCTGATCTGATGACATTTCTGAATCAAATATAGAAGAATCAAATAAATTCAATCCAGGTGATCTAGAACTGTAACTCATAAGAAATGAAAATCCAGAAGATTCCGTTTGTGATTGAACTTCAGGTACTACATTTCTATTTCTGTTACAGAGAGATTTAAAAAGTTATCAAACTGTTATAAATCTACTATTAAACATTGCCGATTGCTAAGCATCATAAGCAATGAAAGAGAAGTAGGAATTAGCATAGAAGGGAAAGGTAGGAAGTAATTACTGAAGTGACAAAGCTATGGAGAAAGAATGATTTGGGTGGAGAATAATGTACAAAAATCTTTTTGGAGATAATAATTATGACTAGTTACTCAGAATATACTGTCAGGCACTATTTTAGCTATAAGCATAACTTACTTATTCCTCATAATAACTAAATGAAGTAGATACTACTTTACAGTAGAGGAGTATGCCATTTTACAGTAAATTGTATAGTAAATTTTATAGTAAAGGATTCTGAAACACAGAAAGGTTAAGTGATTTGCTCAAAAGAGTAAGTGCCAGAGTTGACATTTGAATGTAGTAACCTAGATTCGAAGTCTAAGCTCTTAATCCTGATAATGTCTTCAAGATCTTGAAATCTAATTAAGATGTGTCTTAGATGAGAAGCCAGCCTTTACAGAGTTTTATGTGAGAGAGTTAAAACTATAAAAATGGGAAAAATAATTAGACAAGTATATAATTCAATGGTTAGAAAGTATAGATTCTATAGCCAGAACTGTTTGGATTTGCTCTTTTATTTTTTTCCGGTTGGAGATCAAACTCAGGACCTTGCACTTGTGAGGCAGGCGCTGGAACCACTGAGCTACATCCCGGCCCTATTTGGGTTTATATCTCAACTCTAACACCGACTGGTTGTAATCACTTATGATTCTGTTTTCTTATCTATAAAGTTATTAATATATCTACAATTCATAAGATTGTGAATATTAAGTGAGCAATACTTATAAAGTATCTAAAAAGTGGTTTGCATATAGTGTTCTGCAAGTGTTTTTAAATTATTACTCTCCAGGGGCTGGAGAGTAGCTCATAAAATGTAATAGTAGCTGGAGTCTACTCAGTGGGTGCAAGGCTTTGGGTTCAATCCCCTGCACCGAATGAATGAATGAATGAATGAATGATGTACGTCTGACTCTACCCTATCTCTATGGCCATAAGTGAGTCACTTAACATTACAGATCATAATTTTCTCATCCAGGGAGAGAGGTTTTAGCATGTGAGCTGAAATTCTTTTACAGTTCTCAGGTTTAATGGATGATGACTTTCATGTTGAACATAAGCTTGAAATAAAGCAGAGGATTTATATATAAAATTTACTAGCAATTTAAAGTACAGAAGTAGAATACAGGTGAGAGATTCTTGATGAAGTGACATCTATTTGACATATGTTTTCAAGAAATTTGATGGGCCAGTGTGAAGAAAGAGATTAAACTAATTAAAAATGTTAAATGCAACACTATTTTCTTGGCTACAAACCAAAAATCTATGGTTCCTAAAGTTAAATATTCATGTTAGAGATATTTAAGCCTAAAGAGGTTACTTAGCATAATGGCAGTTCTTGCTTTAGACTACAACACATGAAACAATGACTGCTGGAACATTACTCAGTGATAAGTCCACAATCTACTACACGTGACAGTAGCTCTTTAGCATGACATTTAAATTTTTTTCACAGTTTTTATATGCTTTGGGAAATCAAATCTATATACTATTTCAGTGGATAAGAACTCAGTATATACATTATCTTCAGCTAATGCTGCAGAAAAAATGAGAAGGGTCTATGAAATAGGAAGAGCAAAACATTAATTGTTCAAACAGGGTGATAGGTACATGTAAGTTCATTATAAAAATTTTTCCTTTACATGTCTCAAATACTCCATATAGAAAATTTTTTAAAGTTACAGGTACTAGGCATTTTACTCTTCCTATAAATTGTTTATATAATTCAATGTATAGATAATTTGTAATTATTAATTAAAATCCTACATTTCAAATGAGGGGGTTTTAGGGAGCTGGATTTTCTCCAAAGATTCAGGTGTCTTTATAGCTTCAGGAGTTCTTAAAAATATAGGAATGTCAGGCGTTTGTGGAATATTCTCAGCCATTTCTTCTACTTTGTCACTATTATTTTCTATTGACTTCCCAGAATGTTCTGTACATACACCCTGCAAATTCAAAGTAACAGTAAATGGTAAAACTGAATGTTACTGCATTAATTATATATATAAAAACAAATAAGGTGGGAAGCATCATATTAATGTCATCATTTCATAGATAAGTAAAATAAGAATAATTGGTGAACTGATACTAAAATATACATTAAGAAATAGAAAAATAATTATTTTAAATTATTTTAGTTTTATTCCCAGCTCCATTTTTCTTGCCCCTACCTGAAAAAAGTAAATGTTAACTGTAACATACTGAAATTGATAAAGAAAGATGTTCAGGAGTAATTTTTCTTTTAAAATTTCCACATTACTCTCTCAGTGAAGAATTATATATGCTACTTCCTTGAAAGAGCAAAGTAATTGCTCTCATTGGTTTATGCTATAGTTTGGATCTGAAACATCCCCTAAAGACCCATATGGTACAGGCTTGATCCCCAACATGGCACTTTTGGGAAGTGGCAGAAACTTTAAAGAGTTGGGGCCTAGTGAGAGTCTTCAAGTATGGGGGACTATCTGGCAAGGGGACTGAGGGACCCCATTCTCCTCTGTTTATCACTTCCCAGCCACAAGGTAAGTGGTTTTGATCCACCACACATTCTAACCACAGGTCCAAAGCAATGGGACCAACCAATTATAGCCTGAAACCGCTAAAACTGTGAGCCAAGTAAACCTTCTCTCTTCATACGTTCATTATGTCAGGTAATTGTTATTTTAGATCATTGGTAACAAAAAGATGATTAACAATTTGTTATGTTTTTAATAGCTAGGGTAAACTTGATATACGTTGTCTGCATCTATCATCATTAAAACTTTCACTATTCAGAAACACTTTCAAGATACTTTTAGGGCAACCACTGGTCTTCAGTTGCCGTGGCAGATCATTCAAACTTTTTCTTTTTTTTTTTTGCCTATCGAGGACTGAACTCAGGACCTTGTGCTTGTGAAGCAGGCACAGTGCCACTGAGCTAAATCCCCATCCCTTCAGATCATTCAATCTTACCAAACAAAACTGTCTTCTTCAATCATATGGTCTCACTTATTAGTGAAAACTTTTTGTACATTTTCATATAAACTTCTTGTGGTTTCATTTTTAAATCTGAAAACTATAATCTGTAACTCTCTAGAAACATGATTACCAACCTAGTAACATCTCACATAAATATCTTCATTGTATTAAATCTGAAATTAAAATGGACACAATAATTTTAAATCAGAATGGTTTGCTTAGAAATTTGAAGTCAAGCATTTGACTTACTTGTGAAGTATGTTTTGACTCTCTTACTTGTCTTCCTGTCCCTTTATCTCCACACTCAGCATCTGTTTGTTACACAAGACCAATTTTTCTTTTTGCGATTTTATTGTAAAATAAAGCATGGTGACTATATGAAATTGCCTACATTTAACTGTTTAAACCTAAAAAAATGGCAATTTCAGATGGTTCAGCCAGACACATACAAATAAGACAATCAAGCATAATATAAAGTTTAACAAAAATTATAAAGCGAACACCCATGTAGCCACCACCCAAATAAAGAAACAGACCATCATGAACACTCCAAAAGGTCTCATATTCTTCATGTCCTCCTCTTCAGAGGTAATCCTTATCTTGACTTTTGTGATAATTATTTCCTAATTTGTTTTATATGGCTTTATCATTTAAGTAATATATCTTATTTGTCCTATTTTAAAATATTATGTTAAAACTGCATACGTGTGCTTTTTTGTTTAGTATGCACTTATGAGATTCATTCATATTATTGTATGTAGACATAGTTTTCTTAATGATTTAACTATTCCATTGTACAAACACAACACTATGAACAGTATCTCTGCATTCTCTTGCAAATGGGCATTGTTGAGGCTATTACAATTTTTTAATGTTAACAGTCTCTTATATATATATCCTTGTATAGATGTATTTCTCTACATATATACAGTATGTAAGGATGGAATTGTGTGGTCCAGAGTATGTGTATGTCCTGAAACCAGATGCAAAACTCTGTTCCAAAGTAGTTAAGAATCAATGAATCAAAGAGTTGGTTCTTTGAAAGATTAAATAAAATAGACAAAACCTTAGCCAACCTTATCAAAAGAAGGAAAGAAAATACCCAAATCCATGGAATTAGGAATGAAAAAGGTGAAATCATGACAGAGCCTACAGAAATCCAGGAGATCCTTAGTGCCTACTTTGAGAACCTGTACTCTAACAAGATAGAAAATTCAGAAGAAATAGACAGATTCCTAGACATATATGAATTACCAATGCTGAATCAAGAAGATAAAAAAATTCTAAATAATTCAATATCAGTTAATGAAATTGAAGAAGTAATTTTTTTAAACTACCAACAAAAAATATCCCAAGTCCTGATGGAGTCACTGCTGAATTCTATAAGAAATTCAGAGAAGATCCAATGCCACTACTCCTCAAACTTATTAATGAAACTGAAAAGGAAGCAATACACCCAAACTCACAGAAGCAAGCATTACCCTGATACCAAAACCAGAGAAGGATCCAAGTAAAAAAGAGAATTACAAGTTAATCTCCTTAAGGAACATAGATGCAAAAATCCTCAGTAAGATATTGGCAAACAGACTGCAGCAAATCATTGAAAAAATTATACACCATGACCAAGAAGGATTCATTCCAGGGGTGCAGGGATGGCTCAATATATGCAAATCAATAAATGTAATATACCACATTAACAAAATCAAAGACAAAAACCACACAATCATCTCAATAGATGCAGAAAAAGCATTTCACAAAGTCCAACACCCATTTATGTTAAAAACCCTACAGATAAAAAAATAAATTAATTAATTAAAAAACCCTACAGAAAATTGGAATAGAAGGCCTTTATCTCAATCCGATAAAAGCCATCTGTGACAAACCAACAGCCAACATAATAACTGGTCAAAAACTAAAAGCTTTCACTTTAAAATCAAGACAAGGCTGGCCACTATTACCACTCCTGTTCAAAACAGTTCTGGAAACATTAGCCAGAGCAATTAGTCAGGAGAAAGAAATAAAAGGAATATGGATAGGAAAGGAAGAAGTTAAATTAACATTATTTGCTGATGACATGATACTCTACATAGAAGACCCCAAAAACCCCACCAAAAGACTTCTAGAATTAATACTCAAATTTGGTAACATAGCAGAATACAAAGTCAACACTTAAAAATCAATAGCATTCCTGTACTTGAAAAACAAACTCACTAAGAGAGAAATCAGGGAAACAACACCTTTCACAACAGCATCAAGAAAAATGAAATACTTAGGAAGCAAACTAACAAAGGAAGTAAAAGACTTTTACACTGAAAACTACAGTACAATGAAAATGGAAAGATACCCCTGTTCTTGGGTAGGCAAAACCAATATAGTGAAAATGGCTATACTTCCAAAACTGTTATACAGATTTAATGCATTCCCAATCAAACTAGCAATAGCACAATAACACACCTCACAGAACTAGAAAAAACAAGCCTAAAATTCATACAGAACCAAAAGAGACCTAGAAGAGCAAAACCAATTCTGGGCAACAAGGGCAAGGCAGGGGGCCTCATAATCCCCTATTTGAAGACATACTACAAAGCTACCATGATTTGAAAGAAAACACCATTGTACTGGCAAAACAAAACAAAACCAGACACAATGGTCACCGGAATAGAATAGAAGATGCAGAAACAACTCTATGCACATTCATCTACCTTATCTCTGACAAAGGGGCCAAACAGCTACACAGGAAGAAAGATAGCCTCTTCAATAAATGGTTCTGGGAAACATGGCTTTCCATATGCCAAAGATTGGAGCTACAACCGTATCTTTTACCATGCATTAAACTAAAATCAAAATGAATCAAAGATCTAAATATAAAAATAATCTGCTGGAAGACAGAATAGATAAAACTCTTGAAGACATGGGTGCAGGCAAAGACTTTATGAACAAAACCTCAATCACATAAGAAATATTACAAAGAATCAACAACTGGGATCATATAAAATTGAAAAGCTTTTTAAGGAAAAGAAATCACCGCAGAGGAAAAGACAAAGCACAGAATGGGAAAAATTTTTTACCAGATACTCCTCAAAGAACTAATATCTAGAATATATAAAGGATTTTTAAAAAATCAGAAATTTAAAGACTCAGTCAAAAACTGGGCATCCCAAATGAATAGACACTTCTTAAATGAAGAAGTACGAAGAGCAAATAAATACTATATGAAAAATGTTCAACATCCCTGGTCATTCAAGTAATGCAAATTAAAACAACACTGAGATTTCATGTCACTCTAGGGAAAAAAAGGCTATTATCAAGAAATCAACCAATAACAAATGTTGGCAAGGCTGTGGGGGAATAAGAACCCTTCTCCATTTTTGGTGGGAGTGTAAAGTGGTACAACCGCTATAGAAATCAGTATGGAGATTCCTCAAAACTAAAATTAGAGGTTCCATTTGACCCAGCTATTCCCCTTCTAGGCATCTTCCTGAAAGAGTAAAAGCACCATACCACAGTGATATATGCATACCTATGTTTACTGCAGCACAATTTATAATAGCTAAATATTGGAAACAGCCCATATGACCAACAACAGATGAATGGCTAAAGAAAATGTGGTATTTATATACAACAGAGCACTACTCTGACATAAAGAAAGATAAACATGAGCCATTTGTAGGTAAATGGATGCACCCCCAAGACCATAATTTTAAGTGAAATAAGTAAGACACACAAGTTTAAATATAATATTATTTCTCTTGTGTGAGAAACTCTAAGGGTAAACAAGAAGCAAATGGAGGATAGATATTGGGAAGTAGGAAGAACGTGTTCAAATGAGAAGGGAACAAAGGAAGAGGGGTGGGAAGGGAAGGAAGAGAAAAGGGACTAAAAAAAACAAAGAAAGGAAGGGAAATATGGAAACAAAGCTTCTGTAAATTGGAAGGGAAAGAAGCGATGAAGCGAGGAAAGAGGAATGGAGGAAAAAAGAATTAAGATATATTATGTACAGGTATAATTCCATATGATGAATGTGAGCCCTATGTATGGAAAATATGTACTAATAAAAAATAAAAAATATTTTTAAAACAAAGTAACTGTATCAAATTTTATGACAACTAATCATCCTAGAAAACATTCAATCTCACCAGACAAAATTATCAGCTCCAGTTATAACTCAAGCATAACTTCCATATATGGCTATTTATCAACAACAGTTCCTACCAATACTTTGGGAACTCCTGTTGTCTACAACCTCATCAAAATTTAATAGACTTTTTGAATGTTGCTAATCTGATGTACAATATCTCACTGTGGATTTATTTTGCAGTTCCACAATTTGATGAGCGTTTTTTCATACAATTATCTCCTTTTCTGAAATCTCTATTCACACAATTTGTACATACTTCTAATGGTTTGTCTTCCTTTTTCTTCTTGATCTGTAATATTCTTGACAGTTTTATGTACTATAAATATATCCTTTAGCTTGGGGACTCATTCTTTTTATGGTATCTTTTGACCAAAAAAATTTAATTTTAATCTAGCCAAATTTATCAGTTTTTCTATTATTGAACTTTATAATTATTGTTTACGAAATCTATTCTGATATCATAGAGCTACTTTTCCATTTGATCTTCTAAAAGTTTTATATTTTTTGCCTCTTGTATTTAAGTCATAACTATCATTTTCACCACATATTAATTTCTTTAAGTCACGGGTTTAAAGATTGTTGAAATCCTTATTTATTTCAAAATAAATACATGCGCTATATATGCTCAAGTAGAACAGTGCTAGTCATATGCATTTCCCCATATTTCAGTGTTGACATGCACTATTCGTAGAAAACAGCTATTTGTCCTTGTCTAACACTGTCAGTTTGGCATAGTTAGGGGCTCCTAAGCAGCTTGGACAGATCACCTGTACAGATGTAAGTTTTCCTCTCAGAAAAAAGCAGAGAGACTATTCATCTGTGTGGAATAAGCATATCGTGTTGGGTGAGTTCCATACAGTCTGAGAGAAACAGACTCATAGTATATGACCACTTTGAATATGCATATATTTACAGAATTTTCATGATGACAAAATGAGGCATTTCTTAAATTTCAAAATAAAAGCCAGTAAGATAAGAAGAGGTGAAGACATAATAAATAATTGTGCCTTACTAGGTTATCAAAATATATGTGTGATATATGATATACATTAATGTATATGTATAGTCATGCATGTATGTTCGCATGTATATAGAGAATTAGTTTCCAAGAATGTATGAAAGCTCCAACACCTAGCTGATTTAGTGGTTATAAATGCATACATGTATCCTATGATCTTTCTGAGATTTTATTCAAAGAAAATAGCCCAACATAGTAAAAGATTAGGGAAAAGAACATACTAGCACTGTTTATAATAAAAAGAAGAATTGGAAACAATAAAATATTCAGTGCGAGAGAATGGGTATATAAACTATGACATATACACACAAAGAACATTATACAGTCATAACTAATGACGGAGAAATAACTCAATAGTCTATCAAATAGGAAAAAACATACAAAATTATGTAGATAGTATGATTCAAATTTTAGGAGAAAAGAGCAAAACATACATATGCACCAAAAAAAGACTAAAAGAGTATACACCAGTATGCATGTTGTCAGTTATGTTTGGATGGAGATGTTTTTCTTTCCTTTGTATTTGTCTTTGTTTTCCAAATTTTCTACAGTAAAATGTATTCACTTTATATTTAGGAGAAATTTTATTTTAAAGGTAGGCATTCATGGTCATTTAACATGAGATACAAACAATACAAATAATTTATTTGAATAACACAAAAACTGATATAATTTGCTACTTTTAGGAAAAAATATGAGCAAATACCTGTATGTCCTTTTTCAAACCACTGATTATAATTTGATTGTTTCTGTGGAGTTAATCTAAAATGCAATAAATATAATTTTTATATTATTTTTTCAGTTGATACTAATAAGTTAATTCAGAAATTAAAGCTTTTTTTTGGTGGTGCTGGGCCTCATGTAGGCCAGCACTCTACCACTGAACTATATTCCCAGCCCCTGAACAGTTTATTTTTTAAAAGTTACCTTAATTGCATAAAACTGTGTGCACTTTTAATAGTTGTAACATGTGAATTATTGTTCACATCAGAGTCACTAGACACCTGAAAGAAATTAAGCATTTAAAATCACTAAATAAAACAATAAACATTTGCCATAGATACTCAGGGCACTCATTACACTAACATTTCATTATCATCATCATCATTATCAATATCAACACCTACAAACACTAACTGAAACCACTACACACAAAACAAAGTCAAACACTGAGAAACAAAACAAAAATCCTCAATATTCTCAAGGGATTTGATTTTTTTTGCCAAGTATAACTATTTGTGCTAGTATTTTTATATTTAAGGTAAATATATTAATCATTTTCCCACCTTTGGGATAAAATACCCAATATTCATAATTTAAAGAAGAGGTTTATTTTGGCTCATAGTATCAGTGGGTTTGGTCAATGTTTGCCCAGCACCAAGGCTGAACTGATGTGATGAAAGGGCAAGGAGCCAAGGAGAAGAATACATCTTTCCAGGTCACACCCCAGTGACCCACCTCTTCCAAAAAGGCCCCACCTCCAAATAGCACAGTTAGCTATGAACTCATCAATGGAATAATCCACTCATGAGCATAGTACCTCTCCATGATCCAATCACCTTCAAAAAGTCCAACCTCTGAACATGAGACTTGTGGAGGTCATTTTAGACCTAAACCATAAGATTCCAACCCTAATCCCCAAAAGGCTCAAGTCCATCTCATTATGCGAAATGCATTTAGGGCATCTCTAAGAGTCATCAAAGCCTTAACAATTCTACACTGCTAAAAAGTGTAAGTCTAAAGTCTCCTCTTGAGACTTGAGGCAAACTCTTAGCTGTAAGCCATTGTAAAAATCAAAAAGAAAGTTAAATTCTTCCAATATATAATGGCAGAAGGTAAATATTTCCATTTCAAAAGGGAGGAATAGGGGGATAGAAAGGAATCACACCAAAGAAAGAATGAAAATCAGCAAGGCAAGCATTAAATCCTGTAGTTCTGTGTCCAGCACCCAGGGCAGGTTGTGACAAGATGTAAAATCCAGAGGGCTTGGGCTGGTTGCATGTCCTTTCTCTTGGTCCAGCTCCACTACCTGCTTAGGGTTTTCCTCCACTGACATTCCATGTTCCTGGCATCATCAACTTCGCAGGATCTCCACTGCATTTTTGGCTACACTCTCATGATTTCATATGTCACGCTCTCAGGAGCACATTGCCTGGTCTCCCAGGACTCTGAAATCTGAATGCAAGCATCCCTAACGCCACAACTCAAACATTCTGCATGCCTGAAAAGCTAGCATCACACAGATGATGCCAAAGTCTGTAGCTTGCTTGAGCAGGCCAGCCCCCTTGGATCAAGGCTACAGTGAGTGCCTGGATGACTAAATTCTGGATGGTTGAACTCTGGGAAAAAACTTCTCTCTACAGTCCTGAATGTGCAGGATGCCACTGGACTGTCTTTTCAAAGCAAAATCTTTTAAAGGAAATTTACCCGTTTACACACTTGAACCTGAAAAGGGTAGGGTATGGCCAATTCCTTCTCTCCTTCCTTCCTTCCTTCCTTCCTTCCTTCCTTCCTTCCTTCCTCCCTCCCTCCCTTTCTTCCTTTCTTTTATTAAGTTTATTGGTACATTTTAGGTATACAATAAGATGACATTTATCACTGGAAATAAGCACCTTTACATGATATATCTTGGTTCTTATTTTTTCCCTCTTCCCCTGCCCTCCCTTCAACCCCTCCACCCCTCCCTCTTTACAAAGACTTTGATTCTGTCGTTTCCTTTTCTCATATTTATTCCTTTTCCTTCTTTTGTTCTCCCTACCCCTCTCATTCCCCTTTCTCTTTGGACATTATCTTCCTATTTTAAATTACCTATTATACATTTAGTCCTTATTTACACTTTCAGTTTCTCACATCAGAGAAACTATTCAGTATTTATACATGTGTGTCCTATTTATTTCACTTAAGAGTAT